GGTTGACAAGGTATGGAACAATTGGAGTTGTTATCATGTGTAAATACGGAAGAAAAATATTTGTTGAATGCATTGGCCATTATCAGCGGGTCATAGGTCACGCTATTGTCATCTAACTTTAAACTACTGACATTGGGACGCGATAGCATTTTTTTGTTGACATACTGGTAAAAACTTCTGACATTGCATTTAGAAAGCAGTTTATGTTCATTGACTATTCTGTAACTGTTCGCTAAGCCAGAACATTTTCGTGACATATTCAAATACTGCTCTTTATCATCCGGTGAAGAAGTTCGTTTCCATTTTTTCCAGTAGTGAAGTTTTACTTTATAAGACTGACGAAGTTGATAGGGAACCTGTATTTTGTGTTCTTTGCTTCTCAGAAAAGATCGAGGGATGTAAGTTGCCATAAGATTGTTTATCAAACGCTCAAAAATGTCCCAACATGTGTTGACGTCGAAGCAGTGCTGAAAAATATTGTCCCAGTTGATTAGCCTCAGGCATTCATTCATATTAGTGAAGTCTGCACTGTTGTAATTATAAAAGGAAGTGTCGTTATCATTGTTAGAGAATTTGTCAGTTGAGTTATGAGTGATGCAGTTAACTTGAAAGGTAAGGCAGTTGTGATCACTGGAAGAAAATGGACAGGAAATCTCTAACTCGACAAGTAGGCTGGCATCATCAGATAGGATCAAATCTAAAATGTTACTTCCACGAGTTGGTTGATCGACAAGTTGGTAGAGACCTAATTCATTGAAAAGTTCGATAAAAGTATTGTAGATGACGTTATTTGGTGCAGAATAATTATTCCAATTAATTAGTGGGAGATTGAAATCACCTAACAAGCAAATCACATCTCCCTTGCTAAGTTCTTTGATGCACCTGGCACTATCAAACGCATATTCCTCTGCTGATTTATCAAATTTATTAAATTATATTTAATGATGTTGAAGATTGTAAAACTAAGTAAGTATTCGCTTTAAACAAACAAGGAATCAACAAAGTAGAGTAGAGGCACAATATGTATATATATATATATATATATATATATATATATATATATATATATATTTGAGCATCTGGGCACAATCACAACATATCAATTTGAACTTTTGTCGATTAAACAAGAATTTACAATTAAATCAACTTAACTTAAATTAATTGAGACAAAATTAACTTCAAACAATTAACGCAAACAAATTATATCATAAAATTCGTCAAAATTTTCTCTACCAAATGAAGTTAAATTTAAACTAAATACTCGATTTTAAACTATGAAATTAAGAAAAAATACGGAGCAAATCAAAATGCGGCCTGCACGTGCTACCGATGAGCGATAAATATATATATCTGAGCGATATATATATATATATATATATATATATATATCTGAGTGTGTGTGTCTGTGTGTGTGTAATAACAGTTAAATTAGTTTAATGAAATAATAGTAAGAACCCTGTTAAACTTTTTTGACACAATTCAAGTTGTTCAAATAGATGAGGCAACATATGGTCAAGTAAATCATCACCAACGCACGTATTTACTATGTTCATTTCGTCATGTGCCTTCTGCATTATTCTTACCCATGTTTTATCTATATCTTGGAATCTTTTTGCTTCCTGAATTTAAAATTAAACATCTTTTTTAAAATGTAGCATGAAATTATCGAAGAAATCAAACTATATTTAGAAATAATTTTTTAACAACAAACCTTATTTGAATTATGGAAAATTTATTAACCCACTAATTCGAAATATTTATTAATTATACAAATGCAATACATTTTTGAGTGGTTGATTAAATTGTTTAGAAAATGTTTTAAATATGTTAAAACTAGCGTTGAAAAATTTAATGAAAAACCTCAAAAACGGCAGGAAAGTTTCGCAAATTATGAGCACAACATGTTTAGCGTAGAAATATAAAAATTTTGAAAAGAACAAACTGCAAGAAATTAAAAAAGTAAAAAAAAAGTTTAAAAAACTCGATTAAAGATTGAGGAATGAATGGTGCGTTGAAAAAAGGATTAAGCCGTAAAACTATGGGAAAAGCAAAACAACCTAATAACAAAATTTTAGCCAGCGTCGGAATTATACAGATAAAGGCATTGGAGTTGAAGACAAAGTTGGAATTTCTAGACCAGTCAAACGAGAAATTTTTATTCGATTCTAGAATGTTAAAATTTATTATAACTAAATTGAAAACAAGATTTTTTTAACCTTGTGTGTTATATAAATTAACGCTCCAACTGTGTGTGCAGAAAACAAACATGTCCAAAAGTTAGCTACCGTATGAAAGTGGAAAGTTATTTGACAAAAATCCTACACTCTCATATGAACAAGATGTGTTTTGCATGACCTTTGTATTATGAACTGATATTTGCCTCACAACTGTTACCTAATTTTATCAACTTTTTCTATTAGAACTTAGAATTTATCAATACTTTTTTGTTTTTTCTTACTTTAACACACTAATGACAAATAACTTAAATTTAACTTACCACAACTACAGAATCTTAACAAAATTTGAGCTTTCGTCTGTGCTTGCAAATTTTTCAAATTTGATGATCTTACTGAAAGAGCAATTTTAGCATTACTTTTGATACGGGTGGACCATGAAATACTTTATCGCACCTTGCATTTTTGAAGTTAGTTTTTAAGTAAATCGTGTGGCTTCGGATTAGCTAACAGTGTTTTTGTAGTATTATTCTTTCGTGGTTTGTCTGGAAAAAGATTTCAGTCCTTTGGTTGTTACATTCTTGGTACATGTCTTATTTTGTTGGATTTATAAAGGGATTTGGCAAATCAACACGCACGTATCAAATCTATTGCTCCGTCGTGACTCACTCTCACTTTTATCCAGGCTTAGAATTGGCATGTTCGGAATTTCATTAAACAATCCGCCACTCGAAAACTAAAGAGCAAAGATAGAAAGTTATAAACCAACATTTTAACACTAACAATAACCTGATGATTTGTATGGTAATGTTGAGAAACACGTTTGGTTTTAAAAGCAAATTAGAATTAGAGAGAACAATAGTTAAAGTTTACAGCTCATTTTATAAAATTAAGGCGCTGGGGTATGTGTAAATATAGAATCTAATCATCATTTTTATACAACATTCCACAAAAACAATCTCTCGGAAGTATGATGCAAAAGTACAATAGGAAACTAGTCCATGTTTTAATTGCGATAAAAAACTGAAGTATTTTAGATTAAAGCACTGCTGTAAAGAAAAAGCAAAGTAACTTGATAAATTTACATTATTTATAAATCGAACGTCATGGTCAAATTAAAGAACAAAGTTAATCATTTATTTTGTTTAACACATACAGCAGGTAATTGTTTTGCAATGTCTCCTCCGACAAAAACAGCTTCTAAATAAATCCACAGATTTTGAACCATTAACCATTTTTCAATAATATCTAAAGTTACTGTTAATTTACCGATCCATTCTTGAATGGATTTTCGATAGGGAGCATTGTACCTGATTTTAAATAAAAAAACTTTTTTAAATGAATATCTCTTAGTTTTTCATAAATTTTTTACCAGATACGTTGTTAGTAAAATAAAAAACCTTACATTAATAATTAATAAACGAACACACTTAATTTATCTTCTTTAATTTTATACATTACGACCAATCTTTTTAAAACCTAGAACCATTCTAGAACCAAAGTTATCTCACAAAAATTAAATCAATTAATTTAGCAGAGTAGTGCTTTAAAAACATTAAAACTGTTTTTATTACATTTTTACTTGAATTTTACTGTTATACATTATTAACTTTCTTGCCGATAAATATTTCCAATAGCGTGGAATAAGAAATTAATTTCCTATTTTTACTAAGCTAGCTCGTTTTTAACTAATATCACTAATTTTATTTAGTTTTGAAGGTGCTGCTTATTTTGTTTCTTGCTGCAAATCTTTAATATAAATTTAACTACAAACATTTAAAATTTTTGTCAAATTTAAAAATTTAAATTGTTTTTTATTTGACTAAACACAATTACAAATTACATATACAAAAACCTATCTATATTTTGAAATCTGTGTGTTATGTTACTGAAATACGATAATCCTAACCTCACTTTTTATTCGACTAAACATAATTACAAATACAAAAATTTATATTTTGAAATCTGTTTGTAATGTTACTGAAATACGATAATCCTAACCTAAATTATGTTGTTAAAAAGCTGAAGAATTACTTAAGAATTACTGCCATTGTTTTTTATAAGAAGCATTTTTTTTCAATCAACATATAAAAACATACATAATATATAAACACCCTTTAAATCATTTACACTTCTATACCTGTTAGTAAGAAGATAGTTGAGAACCATTAAACTGTCTTCCAATCTAGAAGTTGCTTCGACTATATCACTCGTTTTCAACAGTAATTCTCCTCTTGACTTGAATGACGCAAACACAAAGTTTTGATTGGACCAATCATCGATTACCGTTTTCAGTTTAAATTCAATATCTTTTTCCTTTACGGATGATATACAAGCATCCTAAAAATATTTTTTTAATTTTAACTACTAATCAACGTTTATTACGATTTTCACTGACTTTCTAATGTTCAAAATTCTTATAACAATGTTATGTTGATTTTATAAATTTGACTTATTTTTTAACAATTTTTAAAAAAGCCTTATTAAAAATTGAAAAAATCTTGTATTTAGGTAAAAGAAAAAACTGTATGCATTGCACACATTTCATTTGATTTTTAAAACAAATTTTCTTACAACGCGGTTATCATTTTTAAAGATTTTTAAAAATAATTTTTAAATAGTGATCACAAATTTAAATTTAGCCATAAGTATCATGAGTATCACGTATCAATATCTAGAAGTTTGAAGATCCGTAAAAAAATTTCATAGCATTTTAACACAACAGCGTTCAATGGGAGGTTGTAGTTTGAATTAGTCCTGTGCAGAGATAACCGCAATGAGGTTTTAAACCGCGGCAACCGCGCGGTAAAATTTTCACGGTTTTAAATATTGGTTTTTGAAACCCCTCACACATACAATTTAGTAAATAAAATTAATTAAATTTCCAGAAAAAACATCTTCTTATTTTTTTATTTCCTTCAAAAATGATTTAAAGCAATATGTAAGAAGAATTACGATGTTATCGTTTAGGCCATCTGATTATTTTTAACAAATAAATCAATCAAAATCTCCAGAAAAAACATTTTCTTATTTTTTTATTTCCTTAAAAATGATCTGAAGCAAGAAGAATCACGATTGCATCGTTTAGGCTATCTGACTATTTTAATTATATAATAATTACTTTTCAACAGACCGACAATAACACCAAGTACTGCATATTTATAATCACAGATAATTCACGTGTTTGCTAGTTTATAATAGTATTTACGGAAATCTATAAAGAAATGTAAATTCAATTTATATTAAACTCAAGTTTGTTTTTTGAGTTATACATAGGATGTAATGTAACATGGTTTTATGCTTGGTTTGAGACTAGGGTAGACAAGTTTATGAAACTATATTCATAAATTATAACAAAATGTTATTGCTTGGCTCCGGCTGGATTTGTGTTTGCAAATCTGATGCAGACCTGACTAAAAAAAAAGTGACACTATAGCGTAGTTGAATTGGCTCACAGTGTTACCCTTTTTCAATTTAATGCCTACAACAGGACTTTTGATGCTAAATTATGTTTTTTGTGATTTTATATTCTCTAGATAAAAATATTAAAATAATTATATTTTTAATATAAAATTGGCATAACGATATAAAAACTATGTAGCACGAAAATATGAATTTAGGTGCATGGAATCAAATGTTGTTACTTCAATTTCATCACGGTACTCCAACAGCGGAGCTTTCATGAGATCTCTCAGTCTGAAAGTACTTGATTTCACATCCAAATTGGTTTTGGTTATATCTGAAATTCTTTGCCAATGACGAGCTTCCATAGTTTTACTCGACATCATTTCAAGTAACGGACATGATTCACTAAAATCATCAATTTTTTTTTTCAAATCATGATACGCCTGCCATTCTTGAAGTCTTCTAGGTAATTTTTTAAATCTGTAAGACGATAAAATAATCAATTTTTCCATACTGTATAAAAATTACCATCAGCCCAATTTCATAAAACATAACTAACTAAATTTATGTCATAAAGAATTTTTATTTATTTTCAAATATTTTTGTTTTAAACGCTTAGTAATTTTCATTTCAAAAAAATTATTTCAATAGTTTGTTTCAGATGTTTTTCAATTTTACATTATTTCATATGTTTATTTTTGCAATATTTTCTTTTATTTGTTTCATGTTTTGCATTTTTTAACAGATTCTGTATTTGTCACAGTCTAAGTTTTTAAAGAATTTAATGGCTATGAACGCTCAATGTTGGATCACTGACTGGCCGCAGCATGGAAATCGCAGAAATGCTCGAGCGTAGAAGGATTGACATCTGCTGCCTTCAGGAGACCCGATGGAAATCGAATGGTGTTTGTCATGTCAACTCAGGCAAAGAAAAATATAAACTATTCTGGAATGGTCAAAAACGGCCAAAAATGGTGATGAAATTTTTGTCAGATAACCGCTTGCCCAAGAAGTACTGGATATTAAAAGGATTAATTCACGTCTCAGGCGATCTCAATGGCCACGTTGGAGAGAAAACAGCGTACATGGCGGTTTTGGCTAGGGAGAACAGAATGAAGATGGCAACCGCATCCTTGAGTTTGCTGAAAGTCACGGGTTTTGTTTACTGAACACATATTTTAGAAAAAGGTTGGAACACCTCATAAGATACAAAAGTGGACCATCAGCCACGAAAAGTGATTTCTTCGCTGTCAAGCAACAATACCGAAGGCTATTCAAAAATGTCAAAGTTATACCTGGCGAATCATGTGTCGCCCAACATAGACTCCTTGTGGCAGACCTGGTTTTCGAACTGTCAAAACATAAGTCTAAACAAATGCCTCGGAGAATCAAAACGTGGAAGCTGAAAAACAATATTTATCGAGAAAAATTTCAACAAATTGTCGCCACACAGTTAGATCACCAATCGCAAGCCAATACAGATTGGAGTACATAAAAAACCGTTTTGATAAACGCTGCAACTACAGTTTGTGAAAAAACTGGTACAAAACGTCAGCATGAACGGGACACTTGGTGGTGGAATGACAGTGTACAAAATGCAATAGCTGAAAAGAAAGTTGCATACAAGCAATGGCAAAAATTAAAGTCTGTTGATGACCATAAAATTTTCCGTGAGAAAAACAACTATGCAAGAGGTCAAGTTGCACTGGGTCGGACAGATCAGTGCAAAGAGTGGCTCACTAAAAACAAAGGTGAACAAATGAAATCTCTGTATCGTATAGCAAAACAAGCAAAGCGTACGAAAAAAGACATAGTTGGTGCCTCATGTATCAAAAACGACAAAAATGAGATGGTTCTTGAACAAGATGAGATCAAGCTACAGTGGAGAGAATACTTCAACCGTCTGTTAAACGAAAGAAATCCCATCAACTTTGACGCTCCACCCATCGAAGGTCCGATTTCAGACATCACTGTAGAGGAGCTTACAGAAGCTCTAAAAGCTATGAAGGATGGAAAAGCAGCATGGCCCTTTGGACTCACAAATGACATTATCAAAACATCTGGTACTGCAGGTATCCAAACGTTACTACAACATTGCCGTTTAATCTGGAGAAATTGCTCTATGCCGACTGAATGGAACTATAGCATGACAGTCCCGCTATACAAAGGCAAAGGTGATCCAATGAACTGTTCATCATATCAGGGTATACGTCTGTTAGAACACTCCTGAAAATTGTCGAGAAAATCATTGAGAAAAGATTAACCACGTGCATCACAATCGGAAATTATCAATTTGGTTTACTAGCGTGGAAATCAACAATTGATGCAATTCACATCCTTCGGCAACTGCAAGAGAAGTACCTCCCAAAGCATCAACAACTATCACACATTTTTGTAGACCTTTAAAAGCGTTTGATCGAGTTCCCCGTGAAGCAATCAGGTGAAGTCTACGTTGACAACTCATTCCAGAATATCTTGTTTGACTTGTGATGGAAATGTATACGAATACTAAGACTCTTGTCAGCACAACAGTTGGAAACACAGATGCATTCGACATCGGCGTTGGAGTTTACCAAGGCTCGATTCTCAGTCCACTGTTATTTATAACTGTGATGGAAGAAACGATACGATAAAGAAACCGATACGCACTGGTGACATTTGGAATCTAATATATGCTGATGATATCGTTTTAACAACCACGTCTGAGCAGAATGTAGCGCAGATGTTTGAAGATTGGAACACCAGACTCGCCGATCATGGATTCAAAGTCAACATCAACAAAACCAAAGCAATGAACACTGGTAAACCCATCCAATCCACAGCTACTGGTCGATGGCCCTGTTAAGTTTTTAAAGCTGGTGTAGGTAACAATTCAATCAAGTGTCAGCAGTGTAACC